GCCACCAGGGAGGGTCATCACAGTGCTGCACTTTAATCCATTGCGCCACCAGGGAGGGCCCAGAAACTGATTCTTACTCAATATCTTGTGCTGTCTGGGACAGATGAGTACCGAATGTTTATTAAGATTAAAGTGAAGCTAGACACTTAGTTATTGCCCCGGGTTCAACTGAAAAGCCTGTACTGGGCCCTCTGGCTGGTGTCCCTGCTAGTAGAGGATGCGTGACCTGGTTTGAGGGACAGATGGAACTAGCAGGCTGGTGCTGGTTGGTGAGAAATGACCAGCAGCCCATGGGGCTTATATGACTCAGCTCTGAGCCCGGACACTCACTGACAGATGTGCTCAGACCTGACATGGTCTTGCTCACTGACACCTTTGGCCGCTGGTGCCTTTGACTCAATCTGAGGACAGATTAGCTAGATGACTCTTAAACTCGGGTGGAAGAACATTTTTTATTGCTCCAGATCTCTTAAAATGCGTTACTTACACGTGGCCAGTTAAAGAGCAGCTAGACAAAGTTTACGTTCAATGAAAGATCATCTCAGGCCCTCCCCGGTGGTGCAGCGGGTTGGAGCACTGCACTGCGGAGCTAAACCAAGCCGTGGCCGCTTCAGTGCGAGCTCAGTCTCCACCCTGGAGCTGACCCACAGGGCGCGGCAGACCTCTCCTGACCCGCCCACTGCTCCCCTCAGCAGTGGACTTCGTTGATCTGCCTGTTCTGCTCCCCATTGTGTCTCTGGTGAAGCCTCTCACTGCCCCTGAACCTCTGGTTGTACCCATTTCTGTATGCATAAATAAATAAATCTTTTTAAAAAAGAATACAAACTCTTGGGAAAAAAGGAAGATCATCTCAGCACTATGTACCTAATCCCAGAATGCTGCCCCTTTCTGCAACAAAGCAATCATGAGCTCCCCCCCGCTCCTCCTGCCCCAAGAACTAACAAAGTGATAAGGTGCCCGTTACCAACTCGCCCACCAGTGATTCCAAGAACTGAGAATTGGTCCTTCTGTAAAAGACGATTAGGTTAAATTTCCCTGACAGAGTTAATCTATCACACACTATCATTGTTAATTTCAAGAAGACACACGGTGCCATTTGTACATTGCTTGTATCTGAGACGGCGTTAAAGTTAAATGCAATGAAAACTTTAGGGGAAGCTGTGGCATTGTGTGAGATTCCCAGACGTCCTGTGATGGTGAAGAAGAATGTGAAGGTTTATAGGACTAGACCAGACTCAAGTCCTTTCCACAATACCTCAGTGACCACACACCAGGGGTCAGGAGGACATGTCTATGTCCTGCTCTGCTCCCAACTGTGCAATCTTGTATGAGCCACTTAACCCTCTGGGGTCTCGGCTTTGTCCTCCACACTGCTGATCTGATAGTATTCTAGTCTAGGCTTTCAAACCTTCTCTTCAAATCCTCCCACACAAACACACTGGAGGATGGTAGCCCTCCTTGAATCCTCGGTGCTGTCTGGCACAGTTGGTATCCTTCCCGCTGAGCTGAAGTTATTCCTGGGCCGAGGAAAGGGACAGGACTTTATTCTTTGACATCAGACGGCAAGCCTCAGGATTTACTGACTTCAGAGAAAATATTCTTGAGCAGAGTGTGCTGATGTTTTCTCTTTGCCCCCTCCACAAATTCATGTTCCTCTCTTCTCTTTCTATCTCTGTGCCCTGAGAGGTTGGCTTCTATGCATTTTACCACTCAATCTTCCTTGACCCGATATTCTTGTCATGTTTGGTCAACAGAAGTCACCGGCATTAGATTGGCAGGACTGAGGATGTGAATATTGCTATTCAAGAACAGATAGATGTCCATGAATATTTTAATTGTAGAATCTAAATGTTCTAGCCTCACTTGTCCCTAAATATATGCTCGCTATTCAGTGGGTTCTGTGATCCTCCATGAAATCAGGGACACAGAGCTATTTCTTAATGGAGCAAAATACCTCAGTGTTTAAACACAAATGTCTTCAATGGGTGCCTGATTAGAAGCTGAGTCATAAATTGGGTGAAGGTGAATTCTCTGAAATTAGACACATCTGGAGTCAAATATTCCTGTTACTTTGCTATGGAATTATGACTGAATAAATCCCAACCCCACTAAGCTTTGATTATTAAAAAATGGCAATTATGGGCCCTCCCTGGTGCTGCAGTGGGTTGAAGCGCAGCACTAAGAAGCTAAAGCCACTTCAGCACGAGTTCAATCCCTGACCCACAAGGTGTGCAGACCTCTCCTGACCTGCCCGCTCTTTCCATCAGCAATGTGCTTCACTGATCTGCCTATTCTGCTCCCCCCTCTGTCTCTGGTGAATCCTCTCACCACCCCTGCACCTCTGGCCTATACTCCAGTCCTATATGCATAAATAAGTAAATATTTTTTTAAAAGGCAATATAATTACATTCATGCATCAACTTGAGTGACCACGGGACAGGGAAATTAACCATAGTTTCTGGGTATAAATGCGAGGGTGTTTCTAGATGAGATTAGCCTTTGAAGGGGTTCAGTGAAGCAGATAGCTTTCCCAGTGTGCTGGGCTCACCCAAACTGTTGAGGACAGGAGTAGAACAGAAGTTGGAGCAAGGAAGAATTGAGCCCTTTCTACCTCACTGCTTTAGTGGGGCATGTGATCTCCTCATCTCTGGCCCTTAGATTTAACATCTTCAGCTTTCCTGGTATTTAAGTCTCAAAACTGGGTTGGAGCTACATCGGTTCTCTGGGGTCCCTAGCTTGCAGAGAGAGAGGGTAGATTCTTGGGTTTCTCAGCCTCCATAAACTTGTTAACAAGTCCTCAAAATAAAGCTCTAGGTGGGTGGTGATAGGTATTACCAGATGATGATAGAGAGATTATAGATGTAGTATTAACTGGTATTCCTTTTTAGCTATCACAACTTTTAAAAATGCATCCAAAAATACAAGATTTAACTCAGTATTCCATTTCTACCATACCCCCCCACCCCCACACCCCAGGGAGAACCTGACAATATGCCATCTCATAAAGTTGTTGAGGTTACTAAGACAGCGCTGTCTATGTTTATCATAGTGTCTAACATACCACACATTCTCAGTGAGATAGTTTGATTACTTTTTATAGTGAGTGATAATAAAACTGCCATGAACAGTGTGTCCAGGGAGCCTAGCTGTTAAGGGTCAGAATAAGAAACTTGCTGTGTCGTGTCCGTGAAGATCAGAGAGGGTTGCGGTGTTGGCTGTTGAGTTTCGGCAGCGCTAATTTACACCAACCACATTCACTGCCCAGCTCATCTCACCTTCTGGTTGGGTCGTCTGAGGACTTTATTTTATTCCTCTCAGAGGAGGATGACTTGGAGGATGCTTGTGATTTGATGATTCTTTGCAAAGTCCCTTCTGTACTCAGAAGAAGTAATGCCCTTTAAAATCTAATCAACAAATAAATAAATCAGTAACCATAGGCAAGACCGAACAAAATGAAAGTGTGTGTTACTCTGAAATCTCTCTTAGGGTTTTGTATTTCAAAAAGACAGTGATGCGAAGAATTTTAAGTGAAATTTCTTCTTCTTCTTTTTTTTTGCCGACACCTTTTAAAGAGGCAGCAAACATACAAGATGACAGACTATGTATTCAGTTAATTTTCATTTAGATAGAAAATGTATTTCACTTAGACAATATATAAAAAGTTGTTGCTTCAAATAGTCTTCAAAACCTCCTTAACATGATTTTGACTTTGTAATTAAACACTGAGGCAGAGTAGGGTGCTTATTTTAATATTAATAAACATTAAATAACCATTATGTCCCAGACAATGTTAGGTACTGAAAACTCAAAATTGCGTAAGAGTTGGTCTGTGTCTTCTAGGCGTTCATAGGCTAGTGGTGGTGGTGGTGGTGGCGGGTTACGTGTGTAAACAGACCCCAAGCAAGTGACTCATCTGGAAGTCTACTCAAAAGAAGAGGGTGTTTCACCAGACTTAATCAGACGAGCAGAGCGCCCAGTGACTTCACTAGATTCTTCAAGCAGCAGTTTGGGTTGATGATATTATAAGTTGTTTATTTGCATCGTGAGTGAGACCTATTGTTTGATTATTTTTTATAGAGTTTAACAATGCCACACATCTGAGTATTTTGTTTTTGTTTTTTTAAGATTTATTTATGCATACAGGACTAGGGGACAGTGAAGGGGCAATGAGAGGACTCACCAGAGGCAGAGTGGGGAGCAAAACAGGCAATCTACGAAGTCCACTGCTGAGGGGAGCAGCGGGCGGGCCAGGAGAGGTCTGCCGCGCCCTGTGGTCACCTCCTGGGGCAGGCGGGGATCGAACTCATGTGGAAATGGCTTTAGATTCTCAGTGCTGCGCTTTAACCTGCTGCGCCACCAGGGAGGGGCCCCTATTGCTTGATTTCTACATCCCACAACTGAGTTCAAAGTAGAAATAAAGCACAGAGTTTGCACACACTCTTACATGTTAAAGCACAGAGTTTGCACACACTCTTACATGTTAAAGCACAGAGTTTGCACACACTCTTACATGT